GTCTTGGGGTTCTGCAGGACAGGTCAGCTTGGGACCTGGGGAAACTTGTATTCCAGTGGGACCATCACTGACCACACCAGGGCTGCAGCTGTCAGCACTCAGAGAGGGAACAGAGAATTTGGGAATCATTTGGTAAATGCTGGGAAATGCACTGTTATGTCATCAAATTTTAACCAAATTATCTCCGAATAGCCCAGTACCTTTTGGCTTATGTTAGTGGATCTACACAAATCTGATTTGGTGCAAGTGATTTTAAGTGTGTTCTTAAAGATTAAGACTCCACAGAATCTCTTGTCCTGTTTCTTGGCACCAGGGCCAGTCTTTCCAATGGAACGTCTGCCCCTTGGCCTTGGCTGACCATTATCTCAGCCAGGAGAGCCTAGGGCTTCATTTGAAAGATGGGGGTGGGGTGGGCAGCAGTCAGGACTGGGCCTTGGTCATATCTGTCTGTCTTCCTCAGTGTTTCCTCTCTGTTCTCCTAGCCAAATTTTCTCTTAATTCACTCAGAAGACCTTACAAAGCGTTTATGGAATCTCACATGACTTGGGAAGCCCGTGGAGGTTCCCAAAGATGGACTGACAACTCCTGTCTCCAAAGACATTGCTTCATGCTAGAGATGAGCGTGAGAGATTGCTGAAAGAAATTCCAATGTCATTTGAAAGTGACAGTGCAGTACTGTGCAGTTCTGTGGGCACTCAGGATAGAGTGACTAATACCAGAGTAGGGACAGGAGGTGATGAGAAAGTTACAAAGGAGACGATGTTTAATCTGGGGCTTGCTGCTGTCATGGTAGTTTTAAGCGCCCTGGCTCCCAAGTTTGGCAGATTGTAAAAGAACTCTATCCTCGCCACTACCGCCCTGCTATCTTGGGCTTTGACAAATTGTTCCTCTGTCCTCAAGCCTCCATTCATTCTGCGGGAAAGTGGCAATCGTCCATCATAAATACCTGGTGGGAAAATTTGAGGAGCAAATGTGACAAGAGCAGTGATGCACTGGTGATCATCCACTGTCACCTCAAGGAAACAGAGAGCTTATAATTACTGGTTTGTTGTTGTTGTTTGGTTGGTTGGTTTTGATTTGATTTGACATAGAGTCTTACTATATAGCCCAGACTGGCCTGAAGCGTGTTATCTTCCTGCTTCAGTTTCACAAGTGCTGATATTTCAGGCATCTGCTACTTATCATCATTATGAATATAATAGTGCAAGCCCATCTTTTATTCTCCATCGAAGTGCACATTACTCCCGGTGGTAGATGGGTGATGGATGTTCCAGGCAGAGAAGAGAAGATGCAGCCACAGATATTTAACACCCTGTGATACTTGAGGGGGTCAGTGAAATAGGGAGGGGGAAGGGAGCTAGCAAGAGGTTAGGGAAGAAACATTAACTTGGAGTCCAGTTGTGAGCCTTGTTTACTGTGGAAGTGAGTCTCTGTCCTCTGGGGCGGTGGGGGTGCAGTTAGAGGCACAAGAATCAGGGGATTGAATTGGACAGCCATCTATCTCAAAAGGGTCTTCCAGGAAGCCACACAGTGGGGGAAAGATGATGGACAGAGCCCCAGGAGTATTTATATCTTCAACTTCAGATCAAAGGACAGTGGTGTAACATTCAGGTAGAGCAAATCCAAGAATGACTTCTGCTTGTTGTGGGGCAGCCTTGCTTAGACCAGATACCTGGTGAGGTCAGGGCTTCATGTACAATTTCTCAGTGCCCTTAGCGGCAGTCACGACACAGAGAAGAGGCGTAGTAACTGCACTGATGATGCGTGACTCTTCAAACGCAGGGGTACCTATTAGTGGAGGAACGACAAAGAACTAACCCCGCAAATGGTAGTCAGACCACTAGTCTGGATTTATAAATATTGATGTTTTGAGTCAAATTTTGATTTTACACTCTTTTAATCCTAAAACTCAAACCATTGGAGATATAATATTTTTATTTGAAAACAATTTTCAACAGAGGACAATAACAAGTAACTCTAAGAGCCTTCTGTCATTTGTGTCTGATATATGCCTGGGAAGGGAGTGGAGTTCAGTTATTTGGCATGCTCCATGGCAAGGCTGTGGGAACCACTCTGGAGTCCAGCAATTAAAATACATCCATTGGTTTGGTACACTCAAAAGAAAGCTGCTTCCCCCCGCCCTGAAACCAGGTGTCATAATATTGAGTGTGCTACCTGGGCAACCAGGCTAGTGTGCCAAGTAGAGGTCACTGGGCTAGCTAGTGGTCTACAAAATGTATATTTAGGTTCTGTCAAGAAGAAAATAATGGGTTTCATTTGAATAAAATTTAATAGACTTATGGATTCTGAGTTTTTGAAAAGCTTTCATGATAATAAAGCTTTTATTTGTTTGGGAGCCAATAATCCTTTGGTGTGATGTTATTGTCTTTTTTACTTTAATCATGGTTGAAGCCAAGGCAAAATGTTTCGCCTAAAATGCTCTTTGAGTAGACAGCCCCTGTCAGTTTTAAATTGCATTGTGTCTGAAATGGACTAGGTCACGTGTAATAAATGCTGGCATTTTAATAGCAACATTACAGCAAAAATAGTTAACAATCTGCTTTAATTTCAAAACTCATTTTCTCTCTCACTCAGTTGGGCAGTATCTTGGTAAAATGTGCAGAATGCATTCGGATTTAATTATGATGGCAATTTATTCTGAAACAAGGTTAAGTGGGGGCTGTCAATAAAGGTGCAGGGTGAGGACAGTTGTGTCCTGCTGCTCCTAAGTCCTGAATGTCAGGCAGACCATAGAAGAGTTGAAGGCTTTGGGCAGTGTTCCTTGCTAAAGCCTCCAACTCGATGGGTACAGATACTGAGGCTGGGTACCAGCACTGCTCCATCCTTTGTGAGTACCCACCCTTTGGGCAGGGGTAGGCAGAGCTTGAGAGTTAGTGTCTCCTTCACTGGATCCTATTTACTAATTAACTTGTCCCTTCAACACCTATCTAAGGCCCACTGTGGTGAGTGTTGGGTATGCACCAGGCAACTGACAATAAGCAAGTTTCCTTCCCCGGGAGCATTATAGAGGCAAGCACATTCACTAAAGAATGATGTTGACATATGTTCAAGGACAGATGTGTCATGGACTTTGAGGGCAAGGCCCTGGTGTGGGTAAATGATGAGACAAACATTGGGTGTGGTTTGTGATCATGGTGGTGGCTGGTTGGGATGTCATTACCTGTTGTCAGAAACTGGGCAGACAGGGGTGTAGTGTGGTAAGTGTGTTCTAGGCAGGAAGAAGAACTCTAGCAGACACATTGGGGGATGTCACTGTGGTGAAAGGCATTAAGACACCTGTCATGGAGAAGCTGTCTGACCTGGAGGGAGAACCAAGCTCTGTGGTGTCTGAAGGTACATTTCTGCTTTTTGTGGGATGAGAGCTCCATAGAAGGCAGGAAGAAATCCTGAACTTGTGAAGCTTTGGGTTTGGGGTAGTATCACATGGTCATTAGGTATTTTGGGCTATCAGTTGTTTTAAGGGAGATGGGAACAAATTGAGATGTAAGTACTTAAAAGGTGATTATGATCATTAAGTTGGTCAAATACAGGTTATAGCAAACAGTCAGCACTGAATTTGGATGTGTTCCCCAGTCCTTTCCTGTTTGATTGGAGTAACTTTCATAAAACATCTTTGTGGTTTGGAACTTAAAATCAGATGTATTTTTAGCATCCAGCAAGTTGCCCAGAGTGTCCTAAAATTAGAACCTTTTCAAGTAAAGATCATGCCACGGACTCTTCTCAGTGGACAAAGGTAAGAACAGACTTGAGGTCTAATGTGAGTGATGGGTGGCATGGGCTGGCATGTCACATGTTGCACACTAACATTGGTGCTCCCATGGCCCATTTCCCCAGTTTAGTAGTCATACCTTGATGTTTCATGCTGCATATAGAAAGATCTGTCTCTCCAAGGTTTCCCACATCTGGGAATTTGATGCCATGGCACAGCTTTCCTTCTTCTTTCCTCAGAACGCTGTGCTGGGGATGATGGCTGACCTGTTCTTCTGAGTCATTGAACACAATTACTTAGCATACATTGCCCTGCTTGCTGCAGTTTTGATAAGTCAGAATGAGTTGGTTCCTTACCTTAAGAGGGTCTCAAACCCTCATCCGATACCAACTGCTCCCTTGTGGAAGCCCCTGCCCTTCTTCCTCCCAACTTATTGTCATGGGCAATCGAATGAATGGGTATTTACTGCACTATTTAGGCTTTCTTTGCTTAATTGCCAGGGTGTCCTCTTAAATTTGGGGGCTCTGGACAGGGTCACTCAGGGAAAGAATGCTGTCATACCCAGGACTTTTGCTTCCATGTCCAGAGTGTTGCTTTGCTTTTATTTCCTTCAAACTGGCATTTTCCAGAGTGGGAGGTTCACCCTCCAGATAGGAACAAGTCTCCAGTGATACAACAGCACAAATGCTGACTCTCGTGATGAGAAAGGTCCTTTCCTTTCAATTGTCTCTCTCTCTGACTAATCAAAGAGAGCACAACATGAGTTTGGTGTTAACATCCCATTAGAACACATTGAATATTTACCAATAACTTTTCCACAACTGAACCGGTCTTATGCTTAGATCCCTCAACCTTCAAAAGCAAGAGTTCATTTGAATTTAATCAAACTACTATTTCATGTTTTTTTCCCTCGGTATTGGCAATCCAAAGATGCCCTTTAAGGGAAACTGTTCATCAGAAAGTAATTAAAGAGAAATATTAAACAAGGTAGAGTCAGGTGTCTGTGTACAAAGATAAACCACGAATGAGATGGGTACCCCTTTGAATGTAGCTGGGAATGTCTCCTTGGTTCAGGTCACCCCCCTGTGGTCAGGATGCAAGGCATCTGTGATTGCTGTCACAGGCACTTCAGGATCGGTTCTCTGTTTATAAACAAGCAATATGTGAAGCATTATAACTATCTTTGCCTATGGGATTATTAAGGCTTTTTTTTTTAAGTTAAAATTTCACGACTCAGTTCAACCCACACTAATAATGGAGTCTTAAGACCTAGGAAAAATACTTAAGTTTATTGCAAAAGATAATATCCCATTTAAAACAGTTTAGAAATTTACAAAACCTTACAGTGATACATTGTCTTCAAGAAGGCGCTCTATAGATGAGCTGGCGTTAAGTTCCAGGGATAGTGTTATAACTATAGAGGGAACAGCTACATTAAACCCCTGCAATTTAAACAAATGAATCAATCCCTTTCATTTCATAAAAGTAATTTTTGCTAAATTAATCTCTTTCCATAAAACCATATAATCTCAGTATAACATTTCTGTAGATTATCATATTACACACTATTTTACAAAGAAGCAGTGGTACTCAACACAAGTAGCAGAGCATAGAGTTTTGGTATATATGTGTATGTTTTTTATTTAATGCAGATGAGCCTTTCTGTTCAGCAGGCTGATATTTGTCAAATCCTTTTCCCACATACTCATTTTTGAGGATTCAATTATCAGAAGGAACCTCCTCCTCTCCAGGTGCAGGTTAGTGGCCTAAGCAATGCAATGTGGTGTTGTGCTTTGGTTTAGAATCATCACATACTCTTTGTTGGTTTTATTTCTGGAGATGTCAACATTTTCCAATCCTAATTTCATCTCATTAAGTTCAGAGTTGATGCAAGATCCCTATCTCACATGTGTGTGTAAAAACATGAGCTACTCCAGTCATCTCATCTTTCCAGGCTAACCAGGAAAAAAGGCTACAGCTAGCTCTCAGTTTGTGCTCCCTGGCTGTCAGAAGATACACAGAACTTAGGAAACGGGAGGGGTAGCCATTCTTCTCCCCTGTCAAGAAAGGACACAATCACACCACTTTCTCCAGGTTAGTGGCATAGGCTATTCTATTGCCTGGATCTCTAAATCTAAGTGCAAGAATATTTTCATTCTAGCCTGGTGCTGCAGAATATAAACTCATTTGAAATTAATGTAAGCAAAACAAATTAAGATGGAAGCACCACTACAAGATAAAATTACATAAGAGATCCCAAATGATTTTGCTTTATTGGATTATCCTCTGTACTGTGCCCCCCCCAATTGCTGGGACCAACTGAGAGTTGAGTGTGTGGATACAGAAAGAAAGATCTGTGGCTTTTGGCCAGTGGTAACATATCTAATTGAAATGTGGTTTCTTGAGCATGACAAGTGTATTCATCTTAATTCTAACTTGACGTTATATATTCTGGTCTCACTTTGTGGGTTTAAACATTACACTAGAAACAGAGAAAGAACATCTCGAATGACATCCTAAGTCTTAAATAGTACAAGCCAAGATTCCTTGCCAAATTTCCCTCACTCTCCCTGAAATAGCTTTTTCACTCCAGCACTGTGACAGGGGAAGTGAAATTGTTGGGGCGGTTTGCTCAATTAGTCTCAATTTGCAGTGGGGTACGCACATCCCACGTGCATGGTAGAGACTCACTCAGACACCAGGTCTTTGGCAAGGGGGGCGCGTTTATACAATGCTTTCTTCATTTAGGTGTGGCTCATCTTTCTGGCAGTGTCAGTCCAATCATAGGCTGGCAGGATACTGGATTTAATGCAAAGGAATCCAAGCCTTGCCTCCTACTCAGCCCAAGTATGTAGCAATTACTTAATTACATTGCTTTAGGAGTTTGCTCGGCATGCAAGCTTTACTGGACATCCATGGGCAGAGGTCTTGTCAATAGACTGAGCCAGATCTTACAGAATTCAAACTTGGTGGAGGAAGGGACTTTAATCTGTATTCTCAGTCGCAATTCATCCTCGATCAGGTGACTACAGCCTGGCTACCAGGAAGGGAAACTGTAGAGTAGTATGTTTGGGCCTATCTACATGGTTGCCACAAGGAGGCATGGATGAGAAAAAGTGCTGTACCTAGCTCAGTCTTATTAATGTTGCTTGATAATATATACTGACATACGGGTGGCCGAGTCTTGGGACCTTTCATGTTACAGGTAAATGAATGGTGAGATACTAAAGTTAAAGACCCTCTCATTTACATCCCTCTTGCCTTACAGAGACATATGATAGTGAAGTGGCCCCAGAAAGACTACAGCTGTGAAAGTCCCTTGAGTTCCAGTCGCATAGAACAATCACACAACAGGTGCCTAATACTCGTGTGCAACCTTACTTTGCCCCACCCTGCACAGCCCAAACTTTACAAGAAGACAGCTCCTTGATTTGAGCTCTAGCAGGACAACTTAATACATCAGGGCAACCAGGCATTGTTAGGACCTGCTCACTTCTCTTGTGCTTTTGTGTGATAAATCCTAGAACCCTGCTAGTTTATTGTGGGATATTTTCTAGGAGGCCTGCTTATAACCCTTGTCTTTCTGCAGTGCATGGCACACACTTACTTCCGTTTCTTTGGGGTTGATGAACTTGGGGTGGGAAGCAAATGCTTGCTGTTGTGGAAGTGTTGGGAGCGCAGAGGAGATTTGCTTACGGTGGGAATCTGAACTTAGCAGACAAAGATGAGGCCTTGCTCTGTGTGGCAGGCAGCTCAACAAGCGGCCACACAAGTGTCCACAAAATCCTCAGCGAGCAGTGGCACATACTCAGGTAAGGTTGGTGACCAGGTGTCCAACAGTGTACCAGCTCTGAGGCACTCCCATGTCACAAGTCAAGGGATCTCAGCCTGGGCTTCTGGAGAGGAGAAGGGAGGCCTTGAGGGCAGGGCATCCCCCATCTCAGGAAGGAATGTGGGACCCCCCCAATCCTCTCATATCCACCAGAAGCATTTCTTCTTCACCTTCTTGCTTTTCCTCCGTAAATCCTGTTTCTCAGGGACTGGGGCTTCTGCTGGAGACTTGGGTGGGGAAGGTGCTTCCTCCGCTGGTTCTGCCTCCTCCAGGTTCTGGAGGACCTCATGGAACCTGCCTTCCTGTTGCCGGAAGTCATACTCCACACTGGAAGACAGAGCAGAAGGAAGGAGAGTGGCTTCAGAATGACACACACTGATGTTAGTTAGCATCCTGTTTCCCAGAGCACACATGAGCAGAACCTTGGGATCCAGTACTGTGTCACTAGGGAGCGAGTGCCTGTGTGACCTTGGGAGAGTTGAGTCATCTCCCAGAGTCTCCAATTCCTCACTATTGAATTATAATTTAATGATGCCTCATGGGGACATTGTCAAGTAAATGAAGCTCAAAGCACCTCAGCACCCAGTAAATACTGGGTTTAGCTTCGTTTTCATCTTTGTTTAGTGATCGTCATTACAAATGCTTACTTTTTGACAGTATTCATGAAAACTAATTTATTAACATGTAAACAATATAAAGGCACACATAATCAAACTGAGCTCAGTTCCCTCATCTGTAAAGCAGAAATAATAATGCCATCTAACATTAATACTTTCTTTGAAATCAATATGTGCAAAGTAAGATGATGTCAGAGACATGCCCAGAGCAGTGCCTGGCATACTATAATCCTTCTGCATATGTTAGCTCTTATTTCTGCGTTAGAACCGTTATTACCATGATTACCACTGATACACTATACTCTTTGGATTATCTCTCAGTAATCTGTTTTAGAGAGCCTCACATATAAGGCTTACCTTCCAGCATTCCTCCATACAGAGAGACTGATACACTTCTCTGTGAGTAGATTCCTTCTCCTTTCTCCAGTTTTATATATGCATTTGGAGTCATCAATGTACAGTCTATTTCATTGGTAGAGTGATGACTACTGCAAAGGTTTGTGAGGGAAACAGTAGGTCATATGGCACCAAGATGCCTAGAAGCCCCAGGAGTGTGGAGGCAGCAAAGAACCTGGGCCAAGGGAAGGAGCCTGCTGTCCCCTCAGGCTCTTAGTGCCCAGAGAGGTGGTAAACATGTGTTAGGGACCCTTTTCCTTCTTCCTCACTCTGCTTAGCTTCTCCTGAACCCAGAAAGCTGTGCTAGGACGAATGAAACTTGTTAGGCTACCCTGCCCAGCCTGTGTCTTTGGCTGTTCACTTCCTTTCCACTCTTGGGTGCATTTCAGTGCTAGGTGCTTGTCACATGTGTCCTCAGAAGGTCCTCAGCTGAGAAGCTAACATGGGAGAGTTAGAAAATGGCAGAAACACAGTCATAAAAACAGAGCATGCCCTTTGTTTAGCTGGGGGTGAATGAAACTCTGTGTAAGGAAGACAAAAGACCCCACATGGCTCTGTGATGCAGTGTGAGTGCTACCTGCTCTTGTCTGTGATACCCGTGTCACTTCCCAGAGCTTAAGATCACAGTTAGCACTGCTGTAGACGTAAATCACTATTGTCACATGTGAGAAAGGAAGCCCAGAATGCAACATTGTCCTGAGCATTCTGAAATGGAAGAGACAGAAAGGCAGAGTGTCCTGTTGTGTAGCCAGCAGGAAGAGGTGTCAATAACCTTTCTCCAGATTCTCCTCTCCTTTTTGGACATCCTTGTCTTCCTGCTACTCTCTGGTTCTCTCTACAGGGACATACTCCTGGCAGGTTGACTTACATAATGGATGGAACACAGATTGTGTTTTTCAAACAAAGCTCCAGAGTATATCAACTGCAAGTCATTTCCCCATTCTTAAGTAGCAGAGTGGCCCTCTGCTAAAGAAGTATTATTCCCACCCCCGGTATCACAGGCAAGGGTAGAAAACAGGTGCATGTTAAATGTGCAACACAGATTAGGCACCACATGTTCACTCTGGCATTCAACCAAGATTGATTAAGTATTGTCCATATGCCAGATCCTTCTCTAGATGCTGAGAAAGGAGTGACAGATAGATGAAATGTCTGGCCAGTTAGCACCAGCATTGCTGGATCAGTAACTTTGTGTCCCTAGTAAATTATACCCTACATCATCAACAATTTAAGACCTTCTAGCCAAAGTGCCTTCAGAGACATCTAAAAACCACACCTTGAGTCTCATCCTCCCACTATTGCCCAATATTGCACCCTAGTTTGTCTTGGGTGATAGAGCAGCTTCCAGTCAACATCACCTGTACCTGCTTCTCTCCTGAGGAAACTTGGGAGATAGATACAGAGGCTAGAAACCATTATCTCAGGCAACTGCTGCATTGCACTGAGAAAGGAGTTTATGGCAGCAAGTTGCAAGTTCTTATTCTCAGCCTCTGTGCCACTGGAGGCATGCATGCTTGGTTGATAAGAAACAGTCATATTCACAGTTCTTTTAGCTCCTGAAACAGCTATGCATTACTACTGTGGCAGAAAACAATCTTTATTATAGAATATAAGATGGAGCCAAAGGAAACGAGTAATACCTGCTCATGCTAAGACTCCATGCTATCTGGTACAGAACATCCCATTGACCCACCCACCCATCCATCCACACATCTACCATCCATCCATCCATACATGCATACATCCACCTCTCCATCCATCCACCCATCCATTCGAATATCCACTGCCCATCCATCCATCCACCCACCTACCCATCCATTCACCCACACATCAACCCAGCCAGCCAGCCAGCCAGCCAGCCAGCCAGCCAGCCAGCCAGCCAGCCACTCTAGTGCTGAAGTCCAGTGGCTTGGCTAGTCAGATAGGGACACTACCTCTGCTTCCCAGAGTTTAAGACAGGTGATCCAACCATGCTTCCCAATTCTCAAGTATCCCTTCATTCCAGGTCTTTGCCCATGTGTTCCAAATCAAGTTATCTGAGTATGCATGTACAACTGGCTGCTTTTCTCTCCTTCTGTGTGAAGTTTCTGACTGCCTAATCCAAAGCAAACCAGCAATAATGAACTGCTAACATTTCCCAGTATTTACAAATATCTCTAAACCTACTAGGAAACACGTTTCTGAGCGAGTTTAATCATGTGCCCAGAAGTGGCAGACCTGGGAAGGAAATAGCTAGAAGACAGAATGTAAACTCTGTCTCCTCTTCTTGACTTGAAGTGCTACCCATCACAGAGGCGGAAGCAAAAGGCTTTTGAGTTGAGTGCTCCTGGGTTTGAACTGAGGCTGCATCCTCTCTTGGTTGGCTGACCTTGGACAACTTTCTTTTTTCCCCAGGACTCAGCTGTATGTGGGAGTTACAATAACAACCTTACCACGGGATAGTCATGCTGATGGGAGGCAGGTGTGATCACGCTGTGCTACCTACCTACCTCCATGGGGCACAATCTCCACCCACTCTGCTCTTCTTCACTGGGTGCTCTGTCTTCATCTCTTAGGGACAAATGCCTCACCTCCTCACCTGCACCTCCAGTGCTTCAGACCTTGTATACCTTGCTCATCACTCCTTCCCTCATGTACATTCAGGGAAGAATGCATCGTTATGTTTCTATGGAAACACAGCAGGGTTCCATTATAATCAGTAGGATTTAGGGAGCTGCCCCTCCCCCATGTGTCTCTCCCCACTGGTCTTGACAGTTTAAAGGGGATTGAAAGTGACTTTCATTTCAAGGTCAAGCAAATAGCAGAGTATTGAGAAGTGTGTGTGCTTTGGAAAGAAATTGATTAATGTTTTTTAGGCCAAAGCAATTTATTAACATAAAGGAACATTGTCACTTTTCTTCTTATTCACCCTTTTGACAAACTACTGTTTAGTTTAGAGAGGGAGGGAGGGAGGGCATTTTGCCTTGGTGGCAGCTGGCTCATAAATGGGGAGGGGCCGTCCTGCCTCCCTCATCTGCCTTTCCTCTCAAAGCTGAGTAGACAAGAAGAGATGACAGCCAGGACCATGTTCATCAACCCCTTGGGAAGAGGAATAAATTGGCAACTTAGTTGTTTGTAAATTCTAGGGATGAACTCCCATGTTTGAGGTTTGGTCTCGGGTCTGAGTAGAGCACTAACAACCTTGATAGCCCTACCCTCCTTCCTGCCTTCCTCTTGTCCTTCCACACCTCACTCCTATACCGTCACTATTGAAGTCCTCCACCTATGCTCCTTCTATTCCATTTAGAATCCTAAAACGAAAGCTGAACATCTCCAATCTAGTTTGGGCAGATTCCAGGAACTGGGAGCAATAAATATTAGGCAAGAATGTGTTACAATGTTGCATCCAGAACTGGAAGCACTATGATAGCCTAGATCTGTCAAGATGTGTGAAGGTCATCCTCTGGGGGATGTTTCCTCAGTTCCTGGGGAGCCTTGGTGCCCTTGACATCCAAGGACAAGTCCAGGCATGCTGCCTCAGTGCATTTAAAGTTGTGGGTCAGATAACTTTTCTAGCTCCCACTATCATGGTGGATGCAAAGCAGAAATATGTTCTAGGAAGCAGAGGGAAACCTGTGCTATGGTTTACCTGGTTGAAGTTACAGTAAGGTAAAGAGATGGCTCAGTGGTTACTAACACACACTGCACTTGCAGAGGACTTGAGTTCAGTTCCCAGGTGGAGCAGCTCACAACCACCTGTCTATCTCCAACTTAGAGGGTCCAATGTCGTCTTCTGGCAACCAAGGGCTACCGCACCCCCACACAGAAACACACACACTTAAAAATAAATATTGGAAAAATGTATAAATGCATGACAAAATAACACCTCTAGGCTCCTGATGACCCTGGATGGGTAAGCAGAAATTGGGAAAGCAAAAATAAAGTACAATTTTCAGAACAGAGAGCATCATTATAAGATGAAACATTCAAAAATGAAACAAATTCATAGAACCAAATTAAGAAAGATTGGAAATTGGGGTAGGGGGACTCCTGCTTTTATATAACATCTTTAGCTTTACAAAACTTCAGATACGTATTTTTATTTTATTATTAGACTGTCCTGGGAAGATGGAAGAAAGTTAAGTCCACTTATCTGATAAGCAAGTTAGCAAAGAGAAATCATACTGGGAGCTATGATCAGACCTAAATCTAAACTTTGTGTCTAAGTCTAAGATTTTTATAAGAGCAAATTCTGTATAGTAGGTGGATTAAGCAACAGAGAAGCATTTCTCATTCTGAAGGGCTGGAACATCCAAGGTCAAAGCATTACAGATT